GGTTGTCCTTTTGATTTAGGGATTTCAGTGCTTTCATCGACATTTATTCGTTCTCATTCTCGCCTCTGCATCTGACAGCGAAGGGGCATCAATTTGGAGAAATTGATCTAGAGCCGAGCATCTGAGCTGGCAGCATGACTGTGAGCAGCGAGGGTCAAAGCCATTGCAGTCCCTGGGTTCCCTTTGTTAGTGATAGTACATCANCATGACTGTGAGCAGCGAGGGTCAAAGCCATTGCAGTCCCTGGGTTCCCTTTGTTAGTGATAGTACATCATTGTAAGCTATAGAATTACTAGTAAATCGGATTAGCTGGCCTTCAAAAGTGTGCACTTCCGGACGAGCCAGCATGATTCTATGGTACTCAGGAGGCAGGGCGGAAGCTGGTGGCTGCCGCTCGGGACGGGAAGTTTCGAGATTGCAAAGAGCTAATGAAACTTCTTCCAAGTCTTGACTTTGCAGAGCCTCCAGTGCGGTAGTCAAATTGAGTTTCGCACGAGCATTTAGTCGGGGTGGTTCCACATACAGCAAAAAGTACAAAAACCGAATGATTTTTTGGTGCCTCCTGCCACTGCAGTTGCCTTTCTTAACATAAACAGCAAAGTGGGTTAGGCTTGCCAAGGAATAAGCATATCACATGTGGGGTGCTAAGTGCCAGTGTGTTCTGCCTGTGTTATGTTTATTCGTAGTACTACCGTACTGCGCTGTGGCACGCTGCGTGCCGCGGCCATGAAGCCGTAACGCGCCTCCTCCTGGACCGGGGGGCTAGCGTCAATCACCAAGACCTGCGCGGTTCGACTGCCCTACACGAGGCTGCTTTTCACGGGCAACAACAAATAGCGGAGTTGTTGATCGAAAGAGGTGCAAGCTTGGACCTCCCTGATTATGTAGGCTGTTTCATGCAGCCAAAGCCTCACGCAGGTTGGCGTGGTGTCCGCCCCCGAAGCATTTNGATTATGTAGGCTGTTTCATGCAGCCAAAGCCTCACGCAGGTTGGCGTGGTGTCCGCCCCCGAAGCATTTTTCACTCGGTTTTAGGGTTGTCTGCGATCGACTGCAACAGAGAAGGGTTATAATTACCACATTATTGCCTTAAGCAGAAAAAAATGCAAGCACTGGCAAATGGGCTGATGCCCACCTGCAGGAGGGTATTAAAAGCCACTGTGAAGGCACCTCTGCCCAAACCCGCCGATGAGATTTGGCAATATACGTAGCTGCCGTCTAGTAATGAATTGCGTCAGTCTTTTGGCGAATTGGTGTTCAGGCTGGCGATACCCCCTTGCTTCTTGCGGTGTATGCACGACGCCCAGAGGCAAGTAAACGATTCCTAACCGTGGCTACGCGATCAGCGCAAGTAACAGCATGTATTACGACAAAACTGAGAAAAGTGGATGCTTCCACCCCTGCACATTTTGTTTAGTAGCATAAAAGCAGAGCTACTTCTATTTTGTGTGCCTGCTATCGCCTGCTATCAGATTNCATTTTGTTTAGTAGCATAAAAGCAGAGCTACTTCTATTTTGTGTGCCTGCTATCGCCTGCTATCAGATTGTAGCTTTACTGCTGAGCAAGGGGGCCGAGACAAACCGAGCGAATAATGTACGACACCGCTGCAGAATTTATAGAAAAAATACAAAGGGCGAGGATAATTGCATCGTGGATCTTTCGAAAAAGAAGTCAACGATAATTCAGTGCTTGAATGACTTGCTCCCTCTATATTTGGGGCTCCACTCAGGGTGCAGCCTGTGTGTGTGCTGGAGTTTATCTTCGAGTAAAAACTCAGGCTGGGCTCACCTGCTTCCACCTCGCAGCCGCAGCGGGCTCTCCAACACTTGCTTGCTTCTTGCTGTATAGAGGAGCATACACCAACAGGTTCAATCACCAAGAACGAAAAAAATTGGACGATGTTCTCGAGAAAGCACACAATACTCCGTTCAACTCACCAGGAGAGGGTATTGCTATTGCGGATGCATGTGAGGAAGCTGCCACATGCACAGGGACCGGAGAGTTCACCGCCTTTGCAAGCCCGTTAGAAGGTCAATCTTTAGTAGCCCTTGAAGAGCAGCCAAAGNTTTGAAGTCTGGGGACACTGGTGAGCCAAGCAAAAGAACTGTTTCCTCAGGGGTGCCCCTACAGCGAAAATACGTCATGCAGTGGAAGGCAGCAGCATGCATGGAAGAGCTGCATAGTGCCCAGAACTAGCTTGGAGAATTACGCGAGCCTCACTGTTGCCCAAATGCAGCAAAGTTCGGCTGTTCGGAGTAGAAAGCACAGGTATTCCTTTTTGCTATATTGCCACACGTCATCCTATATAATGTGGTCATGCAGGTAGCGAGGCCAACGGAAATTCGCCGCAATTGTCGGTACGCTCAGTATCACTGGACCTCTAGCTCATTTGCACTGAGCCTTGACAAAGCAAGGGAAGCTAGTGAGAATCGAAGCACTTCCTCACGGGCCTACGGAGGACCTCAGGAGCGTCACTGATGATATGAGAATCGGCACTTGAGAAAGCATACAATCGTTCCGGATGTGTGCAATCACCTGCACAGCAACGTAAGCCGTCTTTTCTCGTTTGCCCTTGGTGAAACTTGCTGGTGGTAAAGCAGCAAGGGCAGCACACTACCTTTCAATTTTGCCGCTGAGCCTAGATTATCCTACAGTCTCCAAAGCGTCTTCCACGATTGCCATTTACTGTTCGATTGTCAGTTATTTTTTCCAATACCCAAGTTAGATATGGTCGTTTAACTCAGACAAACTCTCCCACTAACAGCTGCTTCAGCTTGCTCTCACTGGAGCCTCATGAGTGCACAAAATGCCTGATTTGTTGTGCAAGTGCGGCGACTTATGTATTTCGTACAAAGTAGAAAATATCCAGCATGACTGTGCCTGGGAACACAACATTTTGTTGAACGAAGGAGACACGCAGTCCACCAAGCAGTTGTTGGTAACACAAATCTACCAAAGATGCTAGATTGCTTCGAGGCCTGCACTGCAGCTCAGCCGAGGTTGGAAAGGGTGCCCCACGTGTAGTGAACAGCTTACTCTGCTGCTATTACTGTTCTGCCTTATGGCTGCCTTCAAGGGGCACCCTCTACAACTCAACCCTACATTCTATGTAGTTTTCGCAAACTAAACCAAAATACCAACGAACAAGTTCTGATTCGTATCAGAGTCATGTCCCCCTAGCGAAAGGAGAATATTAATTGTTCTGCTCTCACCTGACGCTGTAGGAGTCAGTATCCTGCGCTTTGTCAGCCACAAGGCCAGCCCCATACACCCATACCCAGTGANGACGCTGTAGGAGTCAGTATCCTGCGCTTTGTCAGCCACAAGGCCAGCCCCATACACCCATACCCAGTGAGGCTGTCGAGCACCTTTAGCTGACCGGCCGTATTTTCTGTATGGATCAACCTGTTTTATTTCAAATAAGACGGCTTTTACACTTTGTCTCCAGAGTAGACCTCTGGAATTCCCAGTGCTGGTGCAGTACACCACGGCACACTTGAGGGTTTAGCTCCAATCGTATCATATCCCTTCGTAGCGAGCTCAAAGTCCAAACGCCCGATATCAAAATTTGCATTACTAGCATAAACGGGTGGTGAATCCGGTTAGGCCGTTGAGTCGTTGGGATCTTGTTACAGCAGCGTATGGGCTTTCGCAAACTGATGGCCAGAACTGGACCGGCATACATGTTTTGCACAGAGCAGAAATACACGAAAGTCTGTTTCAACAATAGAAAAGCGATCAACTAGTAGAAGAAAAAATTGTAGATATTTTGCCTTGCGATGCACCACCGAAAAAGGGTTAATTGTGGCGGCGGATGTTGGAGACAGCTCAGTCCACCCCGGTCGCCGTGGCCCCTGCCTGCATCTGACTCATAAACAACTCAACCGATACACAGCAAGATAAACAAGCTACCTGTTTATATTTGGTCCTGACGAAGATCCGAATGCGACCTCACTCGAGTTCGTTAACTTCAACTACTGCACACCCTCCACTAACGCCCCAGGTACAATCGGTGTGTGGCGTTCCGCTGAATGCTCCATATCTTCATGGACCTGTTGAGTCGGGCAATAGTGGTCCCTGCAGCTGTTCGATTGCGGCAGCGGCGCGGGTACTACTGATTGTCTCAGGACCTTATATTTCGCGGTGCGAGGACTTGATGCGTCCCGTGCAGGCGCTGCTTCCGATTTCATTCCCATGCGCCGACCAACTGCAAACACCAACTGGGCCGATTTGAGCATACTGCCATCCTCGCTGCGCACCTGATACTGTTACACAGCAAGAATTTGCCTTGATTGTCTACCATAAATGCGCGCTATGGCTTCGGGGAGCTGTATGCACAGCACCTTCAATATGGGGGCTTCCTTGAGGCGCATGTTCACAAGTATGCCTTCAGCACTCACCCATCAATCAATGCCGCCGACGTGGCAACAGCGTGTCCTGGCCAACAGGTTTCCATTTGTTTTTGTTACTCTGTTGGTAACTTCCAGTTTGTATGGTTCATGCATTTGTCTGGTAAGTGGCCATGTGGCCACAGCTCCTGAGCCATACGATCACGGCAGCATGCCGTTGCTGAACAAGAATGAGACCCTCATCTCGGCACCCTGGAGCCTAATCAAGAGAGATACAGAAGACAGCTCAGTTTTACAGCCAGGCCTTAACCATCATATGGAACTCCAGGAGCTTGATGATAAAGAAGAGCCATTAGGCGGCGAATGGAAGAACGTTACGGAGGCGCAAACATCATTACATAGGACGGATATCGCTATGGATGAATTGCATCTCCAACAGGAAAGTATTGATACAGAAAATGTGCTTAGCAACAGCCTAGGCGCTAAAAGCTCCGCTTCAGAAGCCACTTTGGCGGTTTTCACTTATACAGGATGCCCCTACTCTGAGGAAGCGCTCCGCGAGGCCCAACTGGCGCAGGATATGGTGCAAAGTCTTGGAGGCTCCGTTNCTACTCTGAGGAAGCGCTCCGCGAGGCCCAACTGGCGCAGGATATGGTGCAAAGTCTTGGAGGCTCCGTTAAGGTAGTCAATGTGGCCATAAAGCAGGAGACAGAACATGCCAAGATTTTGGGCATCAGCACAATTCCTTGTCTTCGACTTTACGGTAATAATAACCTAAAAAGTGCCACCTACAAAACCTATGAGAGTACGAACGTATCTGCTGATGAAATCGCGCACTGGATTCTACGAAGTCAAAATAGAACAGTTCAATCTTTGTCAGGAACCCAGGATGCCTTTCGAGAGGTACATTCCCGAGGGTCTCCTGTGGGACCTGTCGTGGATGTGTCTGTCCATGAAGGGAGCCCGCGCGCTGCGCTTATAGTAAGGCTTTCGAAGAACATAGAGCAACTTCCTTCTAGATTTACTTTATTTAAGATAAAATATGTAGGCTCTTCGGAGCGAGAAGAATTTCGTGTCTACCGGAAAAAATTGCCGTTTGATGTGGGAGAAGAGGAATATCTTACTTTGGAAGAACCGCAATGGGAGCCTAAATCTATGTTGGCACTAATGCTAGAGGCGGAGAGCCGGAAAGTGTATTATGGTGATAAGCCTTCTGGCGTGCTTCTTGGGAAGCGGGCGCTTCTTTCTGTCTACGTCAGTCGTTTCGAAAGCTTGCAGGATATTGCATTGTTGTTGATGGAGTTCCATGAAGCATACAATGACCGCATAGCCTTCCACATAACCAGGAGCTCTCTGAAAGAAGCTGCTAGGTCCCAAGACACGTTCAGCCACAGTTGGGGTGGCGCTGTCCTCACAGATCAGCAAGCAAATGCATCAGCCTACCGAAGGGTAGCAGGGGTGGTACGCGAGCTCTCCCCATTTTCACAGTATTCCTTGTCGATGCCCTTCAATTACCATAGCCTAAAGTTGTTCCTCGAAGAATGGAGTACTGGGAATCCGGAACTTCATTTCCGTTCTAATCACCTGACCTACACTAAGAAGGAAAGCTCTGTTTTGGAACTTAACCATCACCAGTTCCTTGACGTATTAAATAGAGCCAAGCGGGCGCCTTTTGCTGTTCTCTACTACGAGCCCAACTGCGCAGATTGTCAGGCGTACCTNTAACGACCTAATTGATTTTGACATGAAACATAAGATCCCATCAATCGCTGTATATCTAAAAGGGCCACAAGCTCTAGATAAGCGGATTCTCTATACCGGACCTCCCTTGGTGAATAATCTCTTGGAGTTCTTAGCCATGCTTGTTTCCAAACACGAGGACCTTTAAGTAGCACTGGGATGCATTTTTATCCACACAGCTTGACTGCTGAAAAATTGACCTGGCACCCATAAACTCGTCCAAGCTGTCGTCGTCGCCAAATGATCTCGTCGTGACAAGATCATTTGGCGCATTTTCCCCTCATCTCCGTTAAATAACGCCTGCGGCGCATTTTCCTGTAACATTGGTTGCGTAATACTTTCACGGTAACGAACCACAATTTCCCAAGTGCAGGTGAAATGACGATCAGGCATAAGGCAAGCGTGGCCAGCCGTTCCTAACACGCACAGTTGAACAGGCCTGCCCTATGCGAGAATTATCCGGTAAGAACACAGAGAACTGCAAATGACTAAAGATTCATCTCACGTATTACATGGGGAATTGCACAGCCGGTCACGGCCTTTGAACCCTGACGGCAGCGCCGTATATGAATTTTCGTACCGCTTATAAGAAATAGCTAGCGAATGCGCCGTCCTACGAGATATTTCGGTCTCTTCACCCACTAGCTGTGTTACGTTTTACTTGCTTCAGAGATTAACTACCAGGTGTATGTACTGCAGGCGTTTANGCTCAGATGCAGCGTGACGCGGCAGCAGCAGGAATCACAGCAAGCCAATTGCATATATGCCAATAGAGCCTAATGCCGATGCCTATTGTAGGGAATACTCACTGCAATCACGGCAACAATGCCGTGTTCGTTGTGAAATGAGTGAGGGTTGTATGAACAATGGAAGTGTTTGTGAGTGCTTACTGATGTACATTGAGCATAACATTTGTGAATGCATTGAGCATTCTTTATGAAATGACCGTTGGTATGATTATAGAACAGGCTGGGATGAGCCTTGGTGCAAACGGTATTAAAACATGCTACGCCGTCCGCTCTCCCAGCAGCAAAGGCCGCAGTGCCTGCTCTAGTGGGGTTACAAACCAGACCAATTTTGAAGAATAAACTGAGAGAACTAAGTTCCTCTAACCCTTCTTAGCTTGATATGCTGTTGTATCAGTATAATAGCTAATTCCTGCCAGCTCGCTATAGTCAGCTGTGGGATGCTATGGATGCACCCCACAGCAATTCTTCAGAGATACAACCTATTAATAAGTAAGGCTAACTGCAAATATTTGTTCTAAAGAGAAATACCCTAAGTTATCTTGAACAGATCTCAGCATAGCATGAGAGGGACTGAGGGCTCTCCCCACATATCATCAGCTTACAGGGCATGCAGAAACTCTACTGTTATGGATTCGCATCACCCCATCGTGTGAGGGAACTTGGATCCCTACTAGGCCTCACAATTGTGTTGTTCATGTGCGTTTGTGCTCTCGTTGTGGGCACAAGGCACAGAGATGTTGGCAGAGGCTGGTGCGGCTGCTGTCTGGTCAAGATAACTTACAGCATTTTTCTTTTGTACAAATATTCGCAGTAAGCTATACGTGTTGTTCGGTAGTATCTCTGAAGGGCAACTGTGAGGCGCAACCGCGGAGACGCCACAGCTGAGTATAGCGAGCTGGCAAGCAATATCTATCATGCTTAACAAACATATCAGACTAACAAAGGTCAAGGAAATAAGTTATCTCAGTTTATTCCCTCTCTGAAAATTGTTCTCTCTCGACCCCAGTACAGCAGGCACTGCGGCCTTCGGGGCTGGGAGAGGAGACGGCGTAGGCTGGTGCAAATAGCTTTTGCACCAAGGCACAAGCCACCCTCTCCTATAACAATACCAATGGTAACTCCATAAAGAGTGATTAATGCTTTAATCAATGTTATATTCAAAGTATATCAATAAGAACTCACAGGCACTTTCACTATTCATACAACCCTCACTCGCTTCACAACGAGCACGGCACTGCTGCCGTGATTGTAGGGAGTATTCACTACACACTGGTTCCACTCCTCCTACTCTAGAGGATGCTAACGCTATTGGGCACNCTGGTCTAACGTACAATTCCCCTGCCATGATAATACTACAAATTTCTGAGGCCACACTTTCTGAGGCATTGCAAAGTAAGCGTTTGTACCGATAGGTGCGTCCTCGAACCCGATCGGCTCACGTCTTAGCTCTCCATTCGCTGCCAACCTGGTTACTACTTATCTGCCTCCATCAAACGTCCTTGATGAGAACCTTTGACACCGAAGTTCTGAATTCACGATGCAACTTCCTCTCGTCAGGGGCGGATCGCTGCCGATGTGTTGCTCTCTGTCTGAACCTTTCGGTGTTCAAGTTTTTTTAATTCTGAGAGTTTCTCTTTGTACTGACGTGGATTCGCAGCTATTTCCTACCGGATGTCAGAAATCATTCGTATTTCGGTTGTACTCCAGAAGGTAGATATCCTGATTTATATATAGCCAACATTTTCATGCCTCCACGTTTAGGAAAAAGATCTAGAAAATATTTCTCCCTCTGAAAGGGGAAAGCGCCTTCACAACTAATCAGTGCCGTACTTCAGTCCTTTCCGCCGTGGGGCTCGGCGGTAGTTTTCGCAGCTCGCGCCTGCCCGCGTCAACAACAAGGTGCTAGGAAATGTAACTAGANAAGTTTTGCTGTTGGGATGGATGAGAAGCGGTCCCATTTAAGGTGCCACACTGATTGCTGCAATTGCTACTTCACAGCAATCCCACATGGAAGCTCTCAGTCGGCAACGTGCAAGCAATTAGACACATGCACCCACCTCAGCCAGAAAATGCTACTTGCCCTCGCACAGACAATGCACTCGAGTTCGCTCCTTGTAAGAAGGCCTAACTGACAGGCTATGTAGTGGGATGGCGGTAACACCTCAGCCGAGTGTGGCGTATGCAGATAAGGGTTCCTTGGAAGCCGATGCATGCACCGACATTCCCGTGCGTCTTGCCAGTAAGGGCGCCCATGCAGGGGGAAGCATCTTGGTGGGAATTAGTCTTTTTTGGCTGGGGGGGGGGTGTTGCGGAAGGAGTTGAAGGCGCTCTCGCACATTGAGTACATTCTCTTCTGCCCATTGGCCGCGCGAGTTGTGCCGACTGCTGGCCACAGGAAGGACAGAAACGTGGTTTAGGGAGTTTTCGTTTAAATATGTAGGTGCTGTTGCGAGGTACTCTCTGCTTACCAATAGTTTTCACTGCGTTGACCTGCGTGAGCCAAATGCGGTCACCAGCACGATCTGCATATAGGCATTAGCTCCAATTTTCGACTCGTTTCTATTAGACTAACGTTTGTAGTGTTGTAGCAACCTTTCCATATCTGGCATCATATTTAGCCCCCTTCACCCATTTGGTTCCTTAGGCATTTCAGCAAAAAACGGGTTATGCTGCTTATGGACCTGCGTGTAGATTAAAGCAGGGCTTGCCAGAAGTTGGCGCATGCATCAACATCTGTTTGTATGCACGCTACTGGAAGCCAAGTAAGCGATGTATGCGTGAGCATCGATAGGGGATATTGAATGCTTGACAGTGCGAGGTGCCGTGGCGGCAAGGGTTAAAGCTACAACTGAGCATGCAGATGCTCATAATAGAATGTCCCCTCCATTCATCAACAGCAGGACGTCGTCTTTTTATGCTTAGGAGTTATGGAGAGAGAAGGGATGTCAGCACTTTTGGGTGGAAATAGCGAGCGCACGACGCCAGCTAAGTGAATGGCAGTCTCCACTATGCGCCAGTCATGTAGTACTAACTTCAATGAGAACAATATATGCTGGAGCTTGCCCGCAGCAAGTGGGGGATATTGAATGGTAACGTATTCATTTACTGGATTGCTTACTAGTAGCTTTAAAATTGTTCATACAAAAAAGCTGGTGTCTACAGTCGATATGCAGAGTGAGGGCCAGGTAAGCAGAGCCCGTAGTGCCCTTTAAATCGCATAGTAATCCTGTTTCATCGCGCATTCACGATGGAAACAAAAGCCCAACGCAAAAGTCAAGGCTGTTCGCTAGGGTATAGAAGGATATGGGTCACTTTGTGGAGGGACCAACTTTCAATGCTTCTCTGTGCACATGAATCGAGCAGCCCCTTGAGGAAGCTTTGACAAATCTTGGTGCCTCACCATGTTATCATGCGAGCTGGAAGCAGTTTCATGTTAAAAATGAAGCAAATGCAGCGAGCGTCACATACGAGTAAAGCGAAGCCTGAAGAAATAGGGAGATAGATGATTGTCTAATCGCTGCTTGTTTCAGTGCCTGCTGTACTTGACCGCCGGCTAACGGAGCTGCTGACAGAACTGTCACTTTCATTTTCGTTTTGGCTGCTGCTATCCTGCTGGTTTGGTCTGTTGTGAGTGTTCACGTTCCCAAGCGAAGTAGGTGAGCTTTGAGGTGCACTTGAGCTTCTAGACGGCTCAGGTGACTCCGGATCCGATGCGCTGCTGCTCTCGGATGAGCTAGAAGAGCCCGAAAAACCTGAAGCTTCAGCGCCATCTGGCTGAGAGCCGCGACTGCCTTTTACCGCAGGGGAATCGCCTTCACTTCCACTCCTGCTTTTATCTCGGCTCAGTTTGTCAGCTCTGCTGCTCCCGCTGCTCTTGCTGCTGCTGGAGTCGCTGCTGGTCTCTGAGCTGCTGTCACTACTCGTCTCGTCAACAGATTTGCTGCTGCTCCCACTGCTTGTCCTGCTTACATTTGCGCTACTGCTGCTTGTTCCACTAGTGCCACCTTCGCTGTCGTCGCTGCTACTGCTTCCAGTTTTNNNGTTTTGGTTACTTAAAGTTGCCATGGCTTCTTGCTTGTTAGCCTGCGTCTGGCTATACCTGGTATCTTCGCTTGCGCTACTGCTTTCGTTGCTAGCGCTTTCTTCACTGCTGTCTTCTTCACTGCTGCTTCCTTCATTGCTGGATTTTTCAGTACTCTCATCGGAACTTTCACTGCTATCGCTGCTTTGAGATGTCCGCGCGGAGGCGCCTGACACTTTCCGCCGTTGCCTTGGCTCCGTTTGGTAGCTGCTGCTGGACGGAGTGCTGGAGTCCGATTCACTGCCTTCGCTGTCGGTTGGAAGATAATCTGGCGATGTCCCCAAGGCGCTGAATGCCTTAGCAAGTATTCCTAAATTTGCAATCATATTTCTGAGGAAAGACCCCTCTTCAATTGAATTTATTACGCGTTCGATGTTACATAACGTTGGCCCACGAGCTGCAGACACACATTGCCGGCACCACCCCTATATTCCTGCTACAAGTGCTACAAGCATGGTGCAACCTGTTCTAGATTTCAGTTGCTACCTTGGGTCATACCGACTACGTTCGAAGAATCTTCGTATGCCTCGTAGGACCCGTGCTTGGCTTCTTCCTCCACAATGCACCAAAAGATAGGATGCCACCTCTCAAGCGCATCTCTTTTGGCCTTCCACTGTTCTCTGGGAGAAAAGAACGGTAATATGCAGAGCATACTCACGTTTACCCAGATGCTTCGTTAATTGAAACGTGATGCTTGCCCAATCGTGTCCACCTGACTTGAAACTTACTTCATTTGCTTCTCCTTTTGCCGTGTTGTCTGCAGCCGTTCCGCCTTAAAATCCATTACGCTCTTCCGAGGCCCCTGATAACAATCATAGAGACAAAGCAGGTAAGAGCACGCCCGGCTATAAAGGGTGCTTGCCACATGCGCTTGNTCCAACTTAGTGTTCAGCTGTCGTTTACAGAAGATTTGTCTCTTTTCGCTGCAGTGCTCCGCCTCCTGTGCCTCCCCTTGGCCAGGCGGCGCTCGTTCCGTTTGGCCAATTTGTCCTCCATAATTTTGCTCTGCCGATCTCTTTCCTCTCTCTGCACCCGAATCACGGCGTTGACGAACTGTTCTAGATGCTTGCCGATGGCAGCTGCCTTTGTGTCAGCTCCATCCTCTTTGGCAATCAAGATGCTTGCGCAGCTTCCAGACCTTATACGTTTTTGCCACTCAGCTACGACCTTGCTAGCCGCATTGTCAAGAGTTTTTCTTGATTTATCATGGGAGTGATCTTCTCTATGAGACGGAGATTCCCCGCAATCCGTATGTTCATCAGGGAGCACCAATTGGACAGTCTGACCAGTTCCATGCCCAATGCACAAGCACATCGTCTTCGGGATTTATCCCGGGATTTTGCCTAGAAACGAACGTGCATGCAGATATTATCTTTTGAAGAAGCAGGATTCAGTTGGTGAAACGCCGGATGAGTGCGCTGCACTTCAGCGTACCTTCAGGGGCGCTGTTGGTCCGTTCGTTATACTTTCGTTGCTTTTCACCAGCTGCAGTCACGTACACAGTTCCGTCCCTATACAATGCATTGCATTCTATGCGTTAGATGCAAAGATATGGTGCGGTTCCGGAGTTTTGACTCAGCCTGCGGCTGACCGACCTCGGCAAGTTCGGCGTAATGTCTTTCCTTCAGCTCCTTCACTTCCTCTTCTTCCTGCGCCGCTATCTGTAGAGTATTAGCAGAAATTTCGCCCTCTAGATTACATACTCGATGTGTTTGGGTACAACGGCATCTCGCACAGCTACCGCGCGTCACAATTACCCGTAGAAAGGCAGGAAAATTAGTTCACCTGCGCTGTTTTTGCAGCCATAGCTTGCTTGACATATTCCTGAACAAGAAACACCGAAGTTATTTGCATTGCCACTAAATNTTTGCAGCCATAGCTTGCTTGACATATTCCTGAACAAGAAACACCGAAGTTATTTGCATTGCCACTAAATTCTCTCCAGACTGGCACGTGATACTGGACAGATATTGAACAGAAGCGTCACCACTTGACGTGAAGGGTCCAACCAATTATCTCACATCTTCCTGCGACGCTAGCGTAGCGTCAGCAGAAGCTTCGTCGCTCTGATCCTCACGAGCTTGTTCTGCCGCGGTTGACGAATATATAGAAAGGCGTTTCGTAGGGCTGTAGAACCAATACATGGGCTCGAACGCACGATGGATACCCGTCAACTAACACCCCCTTGGAACATGCCCACATCGCCAAGCGCAGATGTGCATTTCTTACTAGAGCTTGTCCTTCGCCTCTCGTTGCGCTTGATGAAAGAATTGATTGAGAATAAGAATTCTTTGGCGACTGTGCAGCTCTTTCAAATCTCGGAGCTCAGCTTCGTGACAGCCTGCTAAGAGCTGCAGACAAAACGCTGCAATGGAAAGTCCCCTGCAGGCTGTGGTTTCTAGTCTGCGCAACCTTACACTAGTAATACTTTACGGCTGAGACCACATACACTAGTGGTAATACTTTCTGCGCTCTAAGATAACGTAAGCCGCAATAATCAGTATGGCACGCTCTCTACTGTATGCACTGTTAAAGCACAAGCTGTCATCTTCAGGGCCCCTCATCTGAAAGTGTTCATGTGCAACTGGGCGTTGAAAAGAGTGTAGGCGCTGACCTCCTTCTGAGCTGCAACACTGCTAGATTTATCAAGCTGCATGCTACGCAGTTCTTCAAACTTCGCAATCCTGGAGAGCTGCAGCGCAGCAGTACTCAGC